GATTGATTTAATTAAGTTTTCCTATTGAATCTGTAATAAAAATGTTTTTATAGTCAGATATCTGCAATAATTTTGGAAAAAATTTTTTCATAATAGTTTTGTAATACTTTTGAAATAACTAAATAAAACAATTTTACAAATGATATGACTCAGATTTTTTTATAGTGTATACTGTAGGTTAAAAATTATATAATTACTATTTATAAGATTAAACGTATATAAACATAAATTATATTAAAATAAATTATAATCATTACTTACTAATTGTTATTAAACACAATATAAGTTATTGATTAGGTCATTGCCTATAAAATTTTATATAAATACATGTACCTCTTATACAACAAAAATTATTTAATACAATAAGCGAAAAAATAAAATATTGTTTTAATAATAATAATAAAACAATAATAAAAAAATCATGAAAATTACTGGAATTATTATTATATTTTCTATAGTTTTGATGCTATCTATTACGGCTTCGGTAGTTTTTGGACATCATCACCATCACCATCATCATCATCACCATGGTCATGATCATAGACGCTTAATTAAAAGTAAATATCTAATGTAATATAATAATATAAATATTTTTATAAATATATATTTAAAATATTAGGAAACAGTCACCATGGTCATCATCATCATCATCATCATAATGGTCATAATGGTCATGGCAAATAGATATTTTTCTGATAAAACTCAGCTATTACAAATATAATGTTGTTTTGGTAGATATTTTTTTATAAATTAATAAATAAATAATATTAATTATAACAAATATATAAATAAACTTTTTAAATAAATAGTTATATAAATATATTCTTATAATAATATACAAACTTAGTATATTAGGGAAAAAAATAGTCAATTATATTCAATATTATTTAGAAATAAATTATACTGTACTTGATGATGTTGTTAAAATTACAGTTTAATAAAAAATAAAATTGTTTAGTAATATCATAAAATTGCATGTTATATTAATTTTTTAAAAACTGTCTAAATAGTAATTAAAATATATTTCTTTATTATTTTATTTGTAAATTATGTTTTACTTTTTGTCTTATTAATTTATTTATACAATAATTACAATAATTTACAAAAATATAAAATCTTTTATATTTATATATTAAATATATTTTATTTATATACTGTAAATACTACTATTGTACTATTGTATTGTAAATTACAATTTGTAATATTGTACTAGTAAATATACAATATTTTCATTACCATATAATATTAACCTTAAAATAATGTTACCATAGTTTTTATTGAGATTTATGTTTATAAAAAAACATATCAATCAATATAGATATTTAGGTATACATAAACAAGTTATAACATTGAAATTGAAAATAAATTAAATTATTAATAAATTAAACGTTTTATTCTAAGCTACTGTATGCTAATATTTTATTATTTATTTCTAAAACTTTAATAAATGTAAAATAAATTTTATCATTTTTATTTATTCATAAATAATTAAAAATAACTTATTGAACATTAATATTAATAAAGAAATTTTGTCCAAAATAAATGTACAAATAATACTGTACTTACTTAAATATTTAGCAATTATTTTAAATATAATAAAATAATTTAGACTAACTGTAAATACCTTTAAAATGATTATTGACTTAAGACACAGTCAATCGTTTCAATGTAAACGTTGGACATTGTTTGCAATGTGTATTGTTTGCTGTATTTTGGCAATTGTTATGACTATTATGGGTATTGTGTTTGTAAGCAAAGCTAATTTGGCTAATAAGGTATCCATGAATCGTCTAAATATATACATATTAATAGATTATATATTTAATAATTACTAAACTTTTATATCAGATTTTATTATATTTTATAAAACTGTAATATTAGTTTATAATGATACAAAAATTAAACTTAATTGTTTCATAGCAATATTATAATAAACAAAACTATTTTTTTTAAATATTATTATATTTTTAAAACCAAAAATAATATTGAACCTATATAATTGAATTATTAGGCAATATTCATTGTATTAATCATTATTGTGGGCCTCATATGTTTGGTCATACCTGGTATTGGACTGATAGCCGCTGTTAAAGAGCACTTTGGTCTGGCCATAGCCTTCAGCGTATTGATGACAATGACAACTATAGGAGCTCTACCCAGTGTTTTCCGATCGGTATCGTACGCACCGTCACTCATATTTACCATAGTATTGACAGTAGTGGCCTATGTCTATGCACTGGATTGTCATCGGATACGTATGTTTAGGCTAATGCATGCAATGGATTCAATAATTACCGATCCAGAGATATCTACAAACATTTCATCACAACTACAACAACAAGAGTCCATACAATTACAACCGATGACACTGCAGTTGGTCGTACCGCCCGATAGCGACGTACTGGAAAAACCCATTCAAACGGGATTCACGCAATTGTTTCCCACAATTCAACTAAATAATAATAACATAGTCAACAATGTTGGACCAACAGCACCACCACTATCATCGGCTCCGGGATTTCGTGTTATTTAGATTTTATTTTTTTTTTAAAAAGACTAGTTATAATGTAATGATATGAAACATATAATGAAATTGTTTTTTTAAAATACAATATAATTTTAGCCGTTTATACGCACACTTAAATAATATAAATAACATAAATTATATACAGTAAATATTGTATTTTATTAGTATCAATGCATACTAATCTCATATTATTATGATATTGATTATAAGGTATACTTAATTATTTATAAATATGCTCATCAACTCTTTGGTGATATTTTTTGTTATTTTTTAAATTTTGTAATTAGTATTTTATATTATATATAGTATAATGTTATCATTTTTAAAAATAATATACTGTATATATTATAAAATATATCTCAGTTCATAATAAAAAAAATAATATGTAATATAAAAATTATTAAATATTTTTATTTATTAAACTATAAATATTATATTTAATATAAAATATTTTGCTAAATAAATTTTTAATATAATAAATTTTTTATATTTTCTGAATCATTAGATTTTTTTTAAGTATCTTGAAATGTTTAACACATATATCGATCGCTTTCTAACTTTTCCTTAATATTAATATAACAAGCATTTAATAAATATTGATATATTATAAAAGTACTGTATATTAATTGGATTTTTCTAACATAACAATAGAAAATAGAAAACAAGTGTTTAACAAAATATTAGACACAAACAGGTACATTTTGTTTATTTCTATTATATACATATATCGTACAGTATTATGTTACCATAGTGTTTTCTTATATACAGTATATTGATGAATAGATAAATCTAGTTTTTTTTGAAAACATACTTGACCTCTAAAAAAATCTAACTTTGACATTTTGGAATAATAAGATAGATTAGTAGACATAATAGTAAATAATAGTAAAATTTGTTTAAAAACTTTAACTGTAATTTTTAATTAAAGAAATTTATTTTATTTTATTAAATTAGCTAGCTGTTTTTTCTTCTCTTTCTAAACAATGGAACATGAGATCAGCAGTTGGTACAAGTGCAAACGTTGGACCCTGTTCACTTTATGTTTAATAGGCTATATTTATGTTATACTTATACTGGTAATTGGCCTTGCTGCATTAGCCATTTTACCCGATAGTGTAGAAGTGCACAATCATTCCGATGAGAAAGCTAAAGTTGGCTGGTCAAAAGTAACTTGATAATTTTTTACTTAATATATATATATTTATTAAATTATTAAATACTGTATTATTGTATTTATATATATATTAATACTGTATTGTAAAGACTATATTAAATTATAATTATTGTTTACAACTGATTTATAAAATGTTTTTTTCTTCTTTAAAATGTTTGTTAGGGACCACTGATTGCAGTGATAGTCATATTCAGTCTAATATGTAGTATAATACCTACCATTGGTATTGTGGCGACACTGAAACAACACTTTGGTACTGCCATTACGTTTGCCATATTGATGACCCTGGCCGTATTTGTTAACGTCTACTGGATTATCTCAAATATCTATTATATGACTACATTAATAATGAATCTGATTATTACTGGATTGGCCTATTCGTTCACATTAGACGTAAACCGGATAAATGAGACGAAACGCCAACGACGCATACCGATTCCGGGTCCGTCTATTGTCATGAAACAGTTAGATCCAACACAAGTAGGCTACCAAAATGGTGGTAATGGTTTAGTGCCTAACGGCTATACTAACGGCCAAATGGTCAATGGTGGTCAAAATGGTATTGTGCCACAGGTTCAAGATTTTAATAGTCAACCAGTACCGGTCTACCCAAATCTACATAAGTCTAAGGATGTCATAGATTATAACAATGTTTAAATATTTTATTATAGTTTTATTTTTGTTGTTGTTGGTGTTGTTGTTGTGCATTTTATATATATTATTTTATTATTAATTTTTATGCAATGTATGATTTATTAATGTGAATATTGTTTGTTATTTTTAACAATTATGAATTAACAAATAATGCAGTATTACAAAATTAATTCTTTAAAAATTTATAAAATAGTTATACAATTAAAATTTTAAAATAATTATTTTTGTATAACATATATATTATAAAATATTTAAATAAGATACACATATTTTACAAATAATACTGAAATATATATTTTTAATACATAAAGTATATAATAAATACACAATAATATAATTCAATTTATATATTTTTATGCATAAATATGATGTAATCTATTAAAGTTTAGTAATTTTTAATTAAGGTTTTATTCAATTAACTGTTTAATTAAAATAATTTTTTATTATTTAATTATTTAAATAAAAGCACATACACATTTTATTAAATAAATAAATTGCATTTGTGATTTACAATATAAAATTTTTTATTTTGATTGTACAGTTGACAATATAGTTTAAACAATAAAAATTTGTTTAAATTAAACTATACACCCCTCAAATCGCACAGTTATTATTTAGACTACAATATTATTAAATCATTAAACTTATTAATCAAGTTATTAAAGTTTGATATTAATTATAAGCATTTAACAATGAATCAACTTGAACATAGTAGTAGTTTTAAATGTAAAAAATGGACCCTGTTCACTTTAAGCTTATTGACCGCAATTGGTATGGTAGTGGGCTGTATAATGTTCATAACTTTATCATTTGCTGTGGACCAAATGGGTGATAAACTAGAATCACGGAACCACCAGTTCAATGACTGGCACCTGACCAGTACTGTTAGCTCTATTAACGATTTCATTGATAAAAATGAGAAAGTTTTACCTACCAAGGTAATCATTTAAAAAAAATTTTTTTTTAATCAAACCTAATGTAAATTTTGTTAATTTTATTTATTTATTTATATTTAATGAGAACTATATTATACCAATTGTATTGGCTTTTGGCATAATCGGTATAGCCTTTCAATTGATTGGTATGATCGGTGCTGTCAAACAACACTACGGCATGTGTATGACCTACTCTATACTGTACTGTTTGGGTACTGTTGGCAGTTTGGTGTCGGCCATCAAAAGTCCTCAATACGTCGGCTCACTATTTGTCAATTTGGGGATTACATTGTTGGCATTTTCCTATGCCCGCGACTGTAATCAAATAGAAATGGCCACTAAATTCCCGATGACTTCGTTGACCGGCACTGTTGGTAATAATGTAACAATCATTGAACACCCGGCATATCCTCCACAGTATAGCAATGAAGGCTTGAAGGGATGGAAAGCAGGTTAAAGTTTAAACTAAATGTCTATAATTTTAGGCAATTAATTGATTAATTTTGTTAAAAGTTGTATGAAGAATAAAAATGTTATTTTAAACTAATTATTTAATATAATGTTTGAAAACTTTATTTGCTTTAATTACATATAATATTATTTTAATATAATAATTATATTTACATACTGTACTAATGATACGTTTACTATTTTTAGTACAGGTGTTTAAGTATTTATAATTAAAACATGAGTTCAAAAAATAATATAATTTAATCAAAAATTTTTTAATATTTACTTATTGCCAATCAGTATTGAAATATATAATATAGTATTATTTTATAATAGATTTATGTAAATAATATATGAATAAATAAAACATTGAAAAACAAAAATTACTATATATTTTTTAAATAAAAATATCACTGATTACATAAACTCTAATAAAATTTAGTAAAAATGATAAATATATGAAGTTTTTAAATACTTAATTATATTACTATATTTAATATTTATAAGATATTATATTGTTTTGTAAAAAGTTATTTAGTATATTTTTATTGGTAGTACTATTTTTTATTTAAAATCTATATTTAATATTTTACTGGAATACTGTATAATAGTTAATATTTAAAAATTAATAACAAAATTTTAAACATTAAAATAAATTTAATTAAAATAATTTTAGTAACATAAAGTTATTTTTTATATACAGTAATTAAATAATTAGTATAATTAAGATATAGTGTAAACATAACAATATATAATATTTATTTAAGTTGTCTGAATGAGTATAACTGAATAACTAAGTGTAAGAGCCATAAGTGATAAAATGGTTTTCGTATCGATTTTATACAAATTAAATGCTGTAAAACATAATTCATGTTTCATGTGATATAAGCGTTGAATAAATTGATGATAATTACAATCATTTGCAATAATACGAGAATATTCTGATTCTTGTTGTTGTAATTGATTGAGTAGTTTAGCAAAACATTTGGGTATAATATTGCAAACGAAACATACGATTAACAGCAGTGGTATTGAATGCATCATTTGAGCCATAATAAAGTCCAATGATTTTTCTGGTGTCAGACAAATCACACATAAACTTATGATATTATAAATTGTAGTAAATGTTAGGACTGAAAACAAATATAGCGATACATATCGGTCTAATTGTTTAGTTATAATACTAGTTTTGAGCACATGTAGCAAAATTTGATTGAAATCTATTTGTGTGTTTGTAATCATTGTTTTGCAAATAGTGTTAAAACTGTGTGAAACACATAACGAGTGATAACCAATTAGACTGATAACACATAGGTTTGTATTAATACAAATTATGCTTGTTGCTATAGACATTAGTACACCATATTGCCATTGACTATATTTTAATAAATAATATATATTACCATTTAATGATATAAATAGAGCTAGTACAATTTGACCAATAATAATTTTCCAAACAATTGATTGTTCATATTTTTCATCAATCAACAAATATTGATGCGTTTGTTTGATCAAGCTAATAATTGGTTTACCATAGACTACCATGGTCAAACATGCTATCACAATAGTGCACACGTTAACCGATTCGCTTACATACATAATTATGGCCAACAAAACAGACCGTGGTGAATTGTTGAAATAAAATTGTTTTGTTTTATTGAATGTCATTACGTAAAAATAATTTACCAAAAAACCAATGTATATTATGGACATAGATAACGTTATAAACAATAATATAATTTTGAAAAATATATTTTTAACACCATAATTAAAATAAGTGATCCCGGTACATCTATGATACATAATTAATTTTTCTAATCCCAGTTTATTTTGATCCATAATAAATAATTTAATTATTATTAGCAGTAGTAGTAATGTTATTTTAATTGTTTAATACTGTAAACATTTAACTTTAATAGTAAACTTTTGTATTATATTAATATAACAGTGATTTAATAAAAGTTATAATTATAATAGCAAATCTATAAATATATTTTTTTCTTTGCAATTTTATTTACTTTACATTAATGACATATAATCTATAATATTTTTATTGTGTATAAAATATAATCAATAGATTTTAGCCTAAAATTGTGTTTTTTTATAAATATTTATTAGTTTGTTGCTATGAACTTAAAATTAATAAATACTATAGAAAATATTAAACTTATATAAAAGCAAATAATAGTTTATTTATATTTTAGTAGTAGTCATTAGAAAATAAAATGTTTGTATTATAAAATGTTATTACTCTATTCTATAGAGTCTATTATAAGTAGGGTTAGATTGAGATTCCCAGGGAGGGAAGTTCCCAAATAAAATCCCTCCAATTTTCCGGGAAAATATCGAAAATATATTATATTCCCTCCCTTGATCGTTAGAAAGGGAAAATATAATTTGTCATACATTAAAAAGTACATAATCTCAATGACTATGTGTTTAAATTGGGACCAGTATGTTAGTAATAACTCAATCAAAATGTGATTCAAATAATATTAAACATTTAGTAAAAACATTAAATACCTTTTGTAGACATTTACTATACAAACGTGTTTTTAATAAAACATTATGTAATGTGAGTTAGGGTACGATAGGTGGTACCACAAGGAAATGTCTTCCCAGGGAATTCCCAGGGAACAGGGAGTATAAGGAACTTATGGAAAATAAGACGAGGGAGGGAATCTAATCTAACCCTAATTATAAGTAAGTTTATTTCATTAAATTATTAATTTTTATATTATATATAAATTCAAATATAATGTTTGATTATTATGAAATGTCTATATTCATATAAATATTTATAGTATACAAAAAAATAGATATATATTAAAGACAACATAATAAATAAAAATGCAATATTAATTATTTGTTTTAATAATATCATTTATTATATACTGTAAGTAAAATGTTAAATAGATTTATTTGTTTTTAGGTGTATTTTTTAATTATTAATAGTTTTATATTTATAAGATTATAATAAAATAAATATTTTGAAAATTATCTTTATTATACATTAATAATAAAATTATTTTTTATCGATCATTAGATTAATTATAGTTTTTTAAAGAAATAATCTAATTTAATAAATTAAATTTATTATAAATATAATTAGTGTTACCAAAACCGGGTTACTTTTAACTCAATATTTAAAAGATAGGGTCAGTTTATTTTTACAATAAATTATACATAAGCAATTTACTAATTTTATAAAACTGATAATTTTACTAACTTATAATTTAATTTATAAATATATTTTTCATTTACAATAATATACTTTTTTAAAAGTGTTTTTTTAATGTTAAATTAGTTTGTTTTTAGAAACAATTAATTAATACAATTAAACAACATACTTATGATGTAGTAATAAATTATTAATAATTTAATTTATTTATTACATTTAAATAAATATAAATATCAATTTTATTAATAATATTTATGTTGTCTGTATGAGAATAACGGCATAACTAAGTGTTAAAGATATTAGTGATAAAATAGATTTTGTATTAATTTTATACAAATTAAATGCCGTAAAACTTAATTCATCGGATAAACAATACAATTGTCCAACAAACTGATTATAATTTTTATTAGTTTCATAATCAATACTATTTATATTTGATTCATGAATTTCTATTTTAGACAACAATTGTTTGTAATTTTTGGGTATTATATCGCAAACAAAACAAACGATTAACATTTGAGGCAATGAATGAGGTAATTGTGCTAAAACTAACTCCAATGCCTTATCCGGTTGAATACATAGCACACAAATACTGGGTATAGTATAGATAATACAAAATGTTAGCTCAGCAAACAAATATATAGATATATAACTATCCAATTGTTTTGTTATAATTGTAATCTTCAAAACATATTGATATATGTTTGTTAAATTTAATTGTGTTTTCCCAATATATTTAATTGCGATATTTTCAAAACTATGCGATACACACATTGAATAATAAGCTATTAGACTGACAACACATAGTTTTATATTGACTGTAAATATACTGGATACAATTGAATATAACAATATAGATATGTTTGGTCCATTATTATATGAACAAACTACATTACCAGGTACATTTGTCAATAGTGATAATAATAAATGTACCATAATAATTTTCCATACAATTGAATTCTCGATTTTTACATCAATTAGTAAATAATTATTAGTATAATTATTTTGCTTAAGTAATGTCAATATTGATTTGCCATTTATTAATAGAGTAATCCAGGCAATTATAGCGCTGCTAATATAACTAATTTCACCAAGCATCATTATTATGGATAGTATTGTTGATTTTTGTGAATTTTTAAAATAAACAAGCTTAATAATAATAAAGCTTTATAATCAAACGAAAAATCATTAATCATATACTTTGTAAATAGTGCCATCAAAATTGTTATCAATAAAATTGTTAAAATAAGCATTATAATTTTAATTAATATTTTACGATTGTTATTTGGATCATAATTATAATAAGTGATACCAGTGACTCTATGATACAATTTAATTTTATCTAATGCCATATTATTATTATATTTTAATTATTAGTATGTTTTTATATACGGTATATTAACATAAAAAATAATTTATGTTTATGATTTTAATTAATATTATTTAAAATGAAGTTTATTAATAAAAGTTTATATTAATCATTATTTTTAACACAAATACAGGATTATTTACTTAAAATAAATGATAATAATCCAACTGATATATTATATTAATAATATTTTGTTTGTTATTTATATTTAATTGATTTTGTACAGCAATGCTATACATTTATATTATTTAAGCATTTAATATTATATACAGTATGTCAGGAAAAATGTAATAAATTATTACTAATAATACTATAATTAAATAGACAACATATTAAATTAATTTTCAATGGATTTCAATATGAATTATAATATTATATGAAAAAAGTTAAATTTATTAATACAAGTACTGTATTTACTGTATATGTTTTAGTTAAATACAAATCTAAAAATTTAATTAAAATAAAATGTAAATATTACAGTATTGATTGTTTATTATAACTAAATGAAGTAAATATGTACTAAAAGTGTATATGAAAAACATTACTATTTTATTTGCTTTATTTTGTTGCCTAGTTTTCAAAAAATTGCTCTTGGACAATAATTGTTTTAAATATTTTATTAAAAAACAAATTTATATACAAAATTCAGATTCAAGAAATATAAAGTAAATTTAAAATTAATTCAATATTTTATGGATTTTTAATTTAATATAAAAAAATTAAAATTATTACTAATTAAATAAAACTTATTTTTTATTGTAAATAAAATAGTTATGTTATCAGAATAAATACAGTATAAATCGTAATTGCTATCAATATTTTTTTAGTATAATAATACAATTAGTTTTCAATAAAATAATTAAATTTTATAGATATTTAACTGTGTTTTGCTAGAGTAGACAAATTCATACAATAGTTCACTTAGAAATACATTTATATCAATCAGACACAAACCAATTAACAACAAAACGGGTCCTTTTAATAGTTCAATCAATATATATGTTTTATCATTCATTTCATTAGTTATTTTCTTATTTTCTACTGATGTATCAAATGTTTGCAAAAATATTTGATCCGTTTGTAACTTTTGGTGAATATATAATCCACACTCTATGGCTGTTCTGAAACTAAAAAAATATATAAGCAAATAAACATGGTAATTTTATTATATATAAATTATATATTAAACTAGCACTCAAAATATGTAAATTGATTACTTAAGTATAATAGTTATAATATAAATTTATATATATATTGCAATTAATTTTTATATAAAAATTAGATTTATACTTACGCACGACATATTAATTTATATTTTTTGTGACGTTTACCTAAACTCCATGCTTGAGGACTGTATCGATATTTATTGTCCGATATATACAAATTAGGATATCTTCCGGCAAACTTGTGGCGCATATTTTGTGTATGGCCTTCAAATCCAATGAAAACATATCGGCCCTCACTAATACCCCGGGCAACTACATCATTGTACTGTACATTGAATTTATTTTCAGCTAATAAATTGTCAAAATATTTTCTATCTTTTGACAAACGTTTCACTAATAATTCAGTTTCTTTGGGCTTAATTTTGGCCAAATTGTTAAAACTTTTATTATTATTATCAATAGTATATAAAATAATGTTTTCATTGTTTACCATATCTTCTAATGAGTTGACAACCGGCCGCACGTCAACAATAAATGTACCGGTAGTGACACTACATGAAAATGTTATGGTTAACAGTTTGCACATTAAAAACCATATAATAAACAAAACAACGAAACAATGATTTAGCAGTGGACGGGTATGTTTGCATAATTTATGATTCAATTTATTTATGGGTTTTTCTACTAATGGTAACATTATGTCAAATACAGCCAACAACTTATCCAATTTGTTTTTATTATAACAAACTGACCAAAACATTGATATAGATAACCAACATAATAAAATTAAAGCCCATACCTAATGTAGTATTTTTAATTAGTAATTTTTTATAAGTTATGTTTGGTTTTATATATTTTAATTATAACAAAAATAGATTGTAATATATTATTGACTTTATTTATTACCTCAACGTTAAACATATGTACAAATGGAAAATATTGTTTATTATATGAGACTCTAATAGCTGTCAATATAGTGTATGAATGTGTTAGCTGTTTAGGTATAAAATCAATTATAGGGTTCAACCAATAATACATTTCAAACGGTTGCAATGATACGGCTTGACTTAACTAATTTGGTTATTTAAAAAAATATTAATAACTAATATTAAATTTAAAATACTAATTAATTTATTGTTTATTTATATATATATTTAGATTATACCATTTTATAATCATTAAAACTTAGACTCTTAGATAGTACCCTCAATAATAATGTACATTTAGCATAATTGAAAAATGCACTGTCCCATCCAAAGTATATAAAATATGGTGTATAGTTTATCTAAATAAAAAATAATTACCAATTAGTTTTTAAATTATTAAACTAATAAATAAATATAATTTTTTTAAATACAAAATAAATTTATCTAAACATACACTTGTAAATGGTATATATAATAATTGTAAATCACCCGTTGAATTAGTATCCGGACATATGTGGACACTATTTTCTGGTACTAATGTAATTGAATAGAAAAATTGTATCCAATTTAACATATTTAGTACAATAATTTGCAGTTTACAATCTCTATATATTAAAGCTGCATAAGTATTAAATTATTAATTAAAAATGTTTTTTCGTAAATGTAAATTTAACTAAAAATATAAACTTAAATGTCAACTATAATATTATTAGAATGCTATTGTTATTATATATATATATATATATACTATAGTATATTTATTATAAGTAAAATAAAAAAATTAATTAATTTTTTCTTGTTTATATAAATATTTATTTGATATATTATCATAAATATTTAATAAACATTGATTTTATTTGCATAATATTTTATTTCTCAAAATGTTTAATATATATATTTACATGTAAAAAATATTATAATTAAATGCAGTAAAATTTAATAAAATAAATAATTTTGAATAGTGTTACTTTAACACTGTTACCGACATTAAAGATATAGATTTATAAGTAAAATAATTAATGTTTTTAATTATTACATAATAATTATTACTTGCTGTTACTTTTGTATTAATTATAGATTTAAAATTTTTATCATAAAATTAAAGCTAAAAAATAAGCACAAAATGCAAGTAATATTTTGCTTTAATTTTGCTTTTGAATTAACTTAAAAACAATATCATAATTTTTTAATAAATGATTTTTAAATGTTCTGCAAAATCATAATTTTAAATAAATTTCAAAATTATTATTATTGTAAATATTATTACTTTTAAGTATAACTAAACTGATTGTTTTTGATTATTTAATAATCAATATAATTGTATTTTATGGATAACAATGATAATGTTTATTTAGTCAATTCTTAATAAATTATACAAAAAAAATATTACAACTAAACAAAACAAAAACAAAAATTAGAACTAAAAGTATATAATTGGTTCAAAAAAGGCTTCAAACAAATATTACAAGTTTTACTAAATAGTAATTATAAATATTCAAAAAATCAATATTTAAATATTATTATTTATATTAGAAATAATAATAATAATAATGAAGTTTGTATTAGTATTTTTGACCTTAATTGTCGGTGTCTTTACCAACGAGTGGCGGCTACATAACAACTGTCCATTTACCGTATGGCCCGGTATTTTGGGAAACCCAGGCAAAGGTAATCCTGAGGGAGGCGGGTTTGCATTGGACCAGGGTCAGACACACACTTACCAGACAGCTAATGATTGGGCCGGTAGAGTATGGGGTCGTACCAACTGTAATGGTGACGGACATTGTGAAACTGGTGATTGCGGTAAGATATCAATCATTACATAACTTTAGATATTTTAAACAATAGTACAACTTATGATACAACAACAAAAAATAACATTAAATAAATAAATAAATATTGATTGATGTTTTTTAGGTAACAAAATCCAATGTCAAGGCGCTGGAGGCGTACCTCCCGCTACATTGGCTGAGTTCACATTGAACGGCAATGGAGGTCAAGACTTTTATGACGTCAGTCTTGTAGACGGTTATAATCTTCCCCTAAGAATCAGTCCGATTGATGGTACCTATAGTAAGACAGATGGCGGCAAATATGACTGCAATGTTGCCGGTTGTACATCAGATCTGAACGCCCAGTGCCCGGGAGAGTTGGCTGTGAAAAACAGTGGCGGTGCGACTATAGCTTGTATGAGTGCCTGTACTAAATTCAATACAGACGAGTATTGTTGTCGTGGATCACACAACACAGCCCCGACATGCAAAAGCTCAGACTGGCCTACGAACTACCCGTCCATGTTTAAGGGTGCCTGTCCTGATGCCTACTCCTATGCTTACGATGATACCAACAGTCTATCCCATTGTAAGGGAAATCCTCAGACTGGATATGAAATTACTTTCTGTCCTTAAATTTTATTTTATTTTTTCCCTGATCTATGTTTAACTGATCTAACTTTGCTTTTATAAATGTAAACAAAATAATAAAATGTAATTTAAATATAATATAATCTATTTTATTTTTTATAATAAAGATCTAATTATTTTAATAATATATTAATATTGTTATAGTATTGTCATATTAGATGAAAATATTTTTGTTTAGTTTGTGATAGAACCGGTTTAATATTAATTATTTTATTTATTAATATGATTATTTTTTAACAATATTATGAAAATATATTTATTGAATAATATGCAGAATTAATTTATTATACTAACAAGAATTATTTATTTAATAACTTAATTATTTTTAAAATAATTATAAAAGAAAAATAAAAAAAAATTCTAATTATAACTAAAATACTTATATTGTTGAGATAAATATAAATTGTAATCAGCATCAAATTTTGTTTTACCATTATAAATTTTTCTAACATTTTTTATCAAATTAATTTGTTTAGCCATGTTTCGCTTTTTAGTTTTATCATACTTGTATGTATTATTTAAATTATTTACATTATTTTTACGATATTTACGAGGGTCACCAAATTCATAAAATAGTTCATATAGAAATGCAATGATTGCAACAAGGTACAAACCACCAAGCAATAAAATTGGACCTTTTAATAGTTCGCTTAATAAATATGTTTTATCAGTTTTTTCGTCAGAAAATTTCCGATTTTCAAGCGCTGTATCGAATGTTCCCAAAAATATTTTGTCCGTTTGAAACGTTTGGTGTTTACCTAAACCACACTCCAGTGATTTACGAAAACTAAAATAATTAATTAATTAATTTTTATATAAAATAAAAATATTTTGTATATTGTGTTTTATTTTTAATTGAATAATTTTTTAAAAAATGTTTGCAATTAAATAGTTAAAAATTAATATATTTACTATATATTGTTATAAATACTTACGCACGTAATATTAGTCGATATTTTGGGTGAAGTTTACCCAAACTCCATGCTTGAGGACTGTATCGATATTTATAGTCAGATATATATAAATTAGGATATTTTCCGGCAAACGTGTGGCGCATATTTTGCGTAAAGCCTTCAAACCCAATAAAAACATACCGGCCCTCACTTATACCCTTAGCTATGACTTCATCGGGCAATCGATTGTCTTTATATTTGGTTTTTAATTTATCAAAATATTGTCTATCTTTAGGAAAACGTTGTTTTAATAATTTTGTTTCTTTTGGTTTAATTATAGCTAAATCATCAAAATTATTGCCGTCACTATGTATAACAATTTTTTTATTAGTCACCATATCTTCCAACGAGTTGACCACTGGTCGCACGTCAACAATAAACATACCGGTAGTTATTTTCTCGGAAAACGTATTACTCAACAATAGGCTCATTAGAAACCATAGGGTAAACAATACTAATAGACTGTAATTTAGTAGAGGACGGTTAGATTTGTTTAGTATTTGGTTTAGTCTATTGACACGATAGATGTTTTGCTCGACCAATGACGACATTATATCAAGTATTGCCAAAATTTTATCCATTTTATTTATTTGATAGATTGACCAAATTAACGATACGGATAACCAGGAAATTAATATTAAAGCCCAAACCTATAAAAAATATCAGAAAAATTTTTAGTTTAATTTTATTAGTTATATTTGGTTTCTATTGCCTCGACTGTAAAAATGGGAACAAATTTAAAATAATGCCGATCTTCCGATACTCTAATTGCAGTTAATATAGTGTATGTATATGTTAGTTGTTTAGGCATAAAATCAATAATACGGGTCAACCAGTTATACATTTCAAACGGTTGCAATGAAACGGCTTTACTTAGCTATAAATAGTTATTTAAATTAATCAATAATTATTAAATTTTCAAGTCTCTAATTATAATAGTAATAATAGAAATCTATCTAGGTTAAATTATCTACCATATTGTCGTCACCAAATCTAAGCCTCTGTGATAGTACACGCAGTGATAAACTACATTGAGCATATTTAAAAAATGCAGCATCCCATCCAAAATATACAAAATGTGGATGATTGTTTCTCTGTTTTAAAAAATAGTTATTATATATTGTTAATTTTTTTAAATGTTATTTAGTCAGTTAGCAAAATAATTGTTATACACTAGTAAATGGCAAATATAACAAAATGAGATCATCAGTTGCATTAGTACCCGGACAAACATGAACACTATTTTCTGGAATAATTGTAATTGAATAGAAAAATTTTTCCCAATTTACCATGATGCTATTTCTATTTAATTAATTAAATAGTATATCAAATAATATTATATTATTTTATGAGTAATTTAAGCTTAGTTGTAAAAACATTATAATTATACTGTAGATACATTACTTAGATATACATTTTTCATAAGTATAACTTAGCTAATTATTTTTTATAAATAATAATAAATAATTAACATAAACAATAAACAGTATAATATAATTATTGTATTCAATAAATAATTTTTATCAATTTATTACATTAATCAATTTTTTTTATTTAATTTTCCATTGATTTATACTACAGTATATCTGTATAATAATTAGTAAAACTTATAAAAATAATATCATTGATTTATTTATGTTCATATCTATCTAATATATATTTTTCATAACTAAAATCTACACATAATTTTTTAAAGATTTAATATTTAATACAGATATAAATCTCTTATTAAAATAAATTGATTATCGAATATAAAAAAAATAACAGATAAAATAATAATTATTTATTATTAATTTCATAATCAATAAAATATTTGTCTTATTTTTATTGAAAAAAATATTAAATAAAGTTTATTTCAGTTTAACAAATATATTATTAATATTATTAATTTGATATTACATTAAAATTTTTCAATTTTGTTTAATACTTTTTACTGTTATTATTTGCTAAATAATAAAATAATTTCTTATATTTGTAAGTTGCTATAAATATTAACTATTATTTCTTTAAATTTTTAAATGAGTAATAATCTTTTCATAGTAATACTGTATTTAACATTTTGTTATTGTTTATAAGTATTTTTAAAATGCATTTAGTTATACAGTATATGTATTTATTTATTATTTGTTAATATTGTTTGCAAATTTTAAGATTTTATTATAAATAAGTTTTAACAGTTTCTATTAACATTTTATTTTTTTTAATATAATGGTTCATAATTTCACAAATATATATATATTTATATATTTAACAAATCAGCTAAAAATAGCTAATTTATTAAATTACAATTACATACAGTTATATGTATAAAAAATAAAACTGTGTATTAATTATTGTTATATAGAATTAGATAAAAACTAAAAGTGTCTATTGATTAAAATTAATTTATTAAAATTTAACTATTTAATTTATTTTATAAATAAACAACACACTTCATAGTCATATAAATCAGCATATATTTAATTAAAAAATATATTCAATAAAATATTGATTAATTTATTTATCAATATACTTATAGAAATAATTATTTTATGCTATAAAACTAAGATAATTAAAATTTAATAAATATAATAGTCTTAAAAATATGCTGATTTAAGTAATAAATTTTTATCTAAATATTAATAATCTTATTTTTAAATAATATTCTAAAATTATGTACTAAATTTTTGAAATTATTAATTTGTATATCAATAACTAATATTTGAGATTAATAATTTTTAAAAAATGTTATTTCAACTGTTAAAAAATTTAAATATTTTTAAATGTAAACCACAATTTCATTGTTAATTTTGTAATAAACTATATTTAAAATTAAAAATGTTTTTTATTTAAATTTATTGATAAATATATTGTTAACATATTTAATCTTAATACCTACATATAGGTTCATAATATTTATGTAATGGACGGTATTTTACGCCGACCATAGACAAGGAAATATAGCTCAAAGCTCAGGTACTCTTAGATCTAATTCAGACAGTATCTCTGGTCTCGCAATATCGCCGTCGAATAATCACTTCAAATATAAGTCACGCGTCCTCACGATTCCGATCTCTTCTGTAGCACTACTCGTAATCACACTATCACTTGATAGGCGTTCTATATCTTAACTCTATTCACAATCAATATCTAAATCACATCACATTTCATTAACAATAAACCACTTTATTTATAATAAATTAAATTTATAAAAGTATACAAAATGAATATAAATATAGATAATGATGTTTTCTGTATATATATGGGCTCTCTGTCCCCCTCTCTCTCTTACGTCGGACCTCCTTAGGCCGCCTTCTCTGAGTCCTCACTCTCTTAGACTATCTTTTATGACTTCTCTCTTAGGACTAACTCTAGGACTGACTTTACATTACAATAATCAAGTGCTTATATAGACATAAATTCATAATTGCATTAATCATTAGATTAGGAAATTTACAATAAATATTAGAAATCTGATTCAATATATAAAATATTTTAAATAATACTAATTATCATAACTTTTTCATTGAATTACTCGATATTAAACTTATATCATATGAATAGTTGATTCTCTGAATATTGAGTACTAATTATAACTGAATATTGAAATATTAAACTTATAAATCATATAAAATATATTATAATCTCTTAATTTTAACTGAAATATGAATATTGATTGCTATTTGAATATTGAATAATCTCTTTGAATAGCATTTGACTCATTCATACTAAAAATAACCTCTAATTTTCAAATATCCATTACATTTATGAGTATAAAAATGATAAAAAGAGTAAACTTGATAATAAATTAAATATCATTATTTATATATTTATATTTATTACTAAAAATAACTTAATTGAAATAAATTCTTAGTATTTATAGAAAATATACTGATAATTATAAACTTTTATTCGTCAATTTTATTTAATATATTTTTATATAATGATGAAATAAATAAATTTATTATTTTAAAAATGCTATTGAAAACTAAACTATTTAATATTTTATAAACTAAATCTTTATAATATCATAAGTTTAGAAATCTGATGATTTACTTATCCTATCAATACAATACAATAAATTATGATATATAACAAATAATTATTATTTAAACCAATATTAATTATATTAATAATTAATAATAATATTATGTACTAGTATTGTTATTATAAAAATTTATAAAATTAAATACTTAACAAAAATATCTTATAATATATAATTTCAAGCAATTGTAATGCAATAATTGTTTAAATACTCAATTTGTTTGTTTTTATTAAAATGTTATAAGAATTAAAATGAAAATTTATAATATATTACTAAATATTATGATTTAGCCTCTAGATGCTTACTTAATAATATAAATTAATTAAAATTTAATATCTATGTATATATACTTTAATAATTATATTAGATTCTAATATTTCTAATAAAATCTAATAATTAGAATATTTAAATAATTATAATATTAGTCTTCTAAATAACTTTTATTAAAATTTATTTATAATTATTGTTGACATATTTAATTTTAATCCTAAACTTAAAATACATTATGAGTATATAAAATGATACCATTAGTAAAAATGATAATAAATTCACTGTATATCACTGTGTATAATCACAGCTGTATTAAATAAAAGTATTTATACATGGATATTTATTACTAAAAATAACCATGTTGAAATAAATTCTGAGTACTTATATATAATGTACTGATTATATTGAACTTTTTATCATATATAAAATTATATGCAATTTTATTTTAATATTTTTTTACATAAAAATCTAATCATATTATATATTTTTATAAGTATTAAATTATCATTTCAAAAATGCTATTACCGGTAATAAAGAAATTGTTTATTGAGTATAAGAAAAATATTAACAAATGTATCACATTATATTAATAAAATTACATTTAAATAATTATTTAATTAATTATTATATTATAAATTTTAAGAAACATAATTATAAATAAGAAATATTGATATATTTTTTTAAAAATAATAAAGTAAATAAAGTAAACTAATTATATTAAATATTATTAATAAATGATAAACATAAAAAATATATAATAAATATGATTATTCTTAAATAAATATTTATATATAAATAATACAATATATAAAATCAAAACAATAAATATTTTTGCAAAATCACAATACAATCCATAAATATTTTCAAATATCATTGAACACAATTTTTTTAGACTTCAATAATATAACTATTATTGTGATGCTGTTGTTCATCAATATCGCAATTATCAACCAATTGAGTCATCCTTATCAACGCATCCCTGGCCTTCAACAATGTTTCATCGCTTTTAATAAAACAAAAACGTACCAAACCTTCGGCCAGATGTTGATTCTCTTGTCTGTAGAAGACAGTCAATGGTACGCCTTGTACGCCGTGTTTGGACAGCCATCTGACCAACGAAAATGTTTTTCCCCGTTTGTCAAAATAGTCGTTTAGATTTAGTCTATCGATTAATCGGCGACAATCGGCAACCAAATAATAGCCGCCTTCGGGAACCATTGGATTGAAACCCAATTCCGATAGCATATTGAACAACATATCTCGCTTTTTGGTCAACAAACTGGTCAACTGAGTCCAATACATGTCGTCAATCTGGTTGTCACGCAATTTCTGGAGTTCCAGTTCAAAGGTACGGGCGGCCGCCTCCTGTATCGGTGTGGGACACACGTACACACTGCTCATGTGAGCCAATGTCATAGCTTCGCGTATTTTTGTATTTCCAGTGACAGCCCAACCGCACCGCCAACCGGTAACATTGAACGCCTTACCTAAACTGCCAATAGTTATGCTTTTCTCGAACATACCCGGAAGCGATGCTATAGTCAAATAAGATTATAAAAATACATATGTTTTATAAATATAATTATAATATAAAAAAAGTCAAGCTTTTTAACTACCTAAACGAAAGTGTTCATTGGATCCATAAGTTAGCCACTCGTATACCTCATCCATTATAGCGATTATATTATATTTGTGGCACAGATCTGCTATTTTAGTTAACTCCTCTTTGGTGTACACCTGATAGACATAAAAAAATATTATAAAGTATTTACTAAAAACTGTATAAATAAGATTTATAAACAAATGATTTTTTAAATGATTTAATATACTAATTTACTAATAAATATCAATTTTTATTTTTTAAAATAAATAATTTGAACCCTAATTTTGTTTCAAACACTTAGATATCAATTTTTAAAATCTAGAAAATAATTTTATCATTATTCTATACAAAGTCTAGTATACTATAATACAGTAGTAGTAATTACAATGTATTATTATTATTATTATACTATGTTTGTTATATAGAAATTAAAGATAATATATTGTGCAATAAATGTTAAATAATAAATATGATTAAACAAATGCTATAATTAAACTATTCATAATCTACTATTACTACTAATCAATTGATAATACAAATAATATTATAAAGTAAAATAGAGTAAACAATTTGCACAAAACATAGTAATTAAGATAATAATACTACAGTTATGAGAAATGCTTATGCATTTCACTTCATTGTAGAAATTAATTGTTTCAATATTACTACAGAATATTTCAGTATAAATCAATCAATTGCATCGATAAAGGATTATTATAAATGACATCTACCTTTCCCAGTGGATTGTTAGGTGTGTTAACAATGATAAATCTGGTTCGGGCATTAAATTTTGACTCCAGTTCCTCAAAATCCAATGTCCATCCGCTATGGTTTTCACCATTTACCCGGTTGTCCATTCGCTTAAGTGCCACGTGCACAGGTATACCACCGGCAGCTTTGGTAATCATATCGTATGCATCGTATGCCGGATCAATAATGATCACCTGATCGCCAGTGTTGACCAGTCCATAGATAGTACAATGTAGGGCCTCATATGCACCGATAGTTATCAGAATATTATCGTCACCGTTGACTGTTCGGCCCAATAGATGTGAATATAACTGTCCCAACACTTTGACCAACCTAGGATGTCCCTTTATTTATAAATTCAATTTATAATTTTTTTGATAAATAATCAATATTGTACATTATAAATTTTAAGTAACTTACGGGGCTTTTTGTGTATTGATGTAACAAACAGGACCCGTTTTGGACAATGTCGGCCATGGCCTCCATAATTGATTGTGGCCAGGCATCAAAATCGGGACAACCCATTCCCAAATTGATAGGCTTATTGATTTCAACCATACGAGCTATTTCAGACCTAAAAAATAATTTATATTAAAATCTTATAACAAAAATAATAAAATTATTTATTTACCAAAATCGAGGATCCAAATCATTAAAACGATCGGCTATTTTGACAATTTGAGACATAATATAATAATATTCAAGATTTTCTTCAATAAAAATTAATTGTACTAGATGCTATTTATATATAAAAATTTTCATAAAGTATATAAAATAATAATATTATCAATATACAGTATTTATTAAAGTTAAAAAAAAGTTGTTACTCAATGAACTATAATATTGTAAAAAAAATATTTAGCAAAAAAAACAATATTTTAATTTTACTTTTTTTTCTTAAATTTGATTTGTGAAAGTAATTGCACAAACCTGGTCTATTTATATATAAAAATATTTGACATTGAAATTAGAAACATTATCAATTACACAATAATAAACTTATGTTGCATCCTATAGGTTAAATAACATTTTAAAAACGTGTTGTATAAATTTCAAATCATAATATTATAATAATATGAGCAAGCATAATTTTTATTTATTAATTGGATTGTGTAAACAATTATCGTATCCGTAAACAATAAGATAAAAAGTTTCATTATTTCAATTTATAAAATTAACATTGTAAACAATGCAATAGAAATTGTATCTAAATAAACATGCTACAATTTCATTTTCTATAGAAACATTAGTTATCAATTTGAACATCTATATAATTAGTTTTATTTATGAAATTTCAAAATCTTACTTAATATTTAATTAACCTTTAAATATAATATAAAGACGGCGACAATATATATAATATTAATCTATTATTAATAATAACATTTTTATTTCGTAAAAATTATATTTACATTTATCATAAGTCAGTAAATGTAATCAATGTTTTAATAATAGTAAAACATATTTTTTTTTAATAATAAGTGATTTACATATTACTCTACTATTAATATTTTAGATTCGACAAAAAATAAAATAAAATATTTTATTAATTATATAAATCCAATCACTTTTATAATTAAATAAAGTTTAATTTCTGTAATTTTAGTCTAAGATTTTAGTAAATTTAATAACTGAAATTATATTTTTAAATGTTTTAATAAATTTCTACAATTTTGAATAATTTCTAAAATGTGATCTTGATCATATGATCGATCTCACTCATTTTTAAAAGTATTATTCCAAAGATTAATTAATATAAATTATTATAGATATATATATATATATATATAAGGACAAAGTACAATATAAATTAATTAATTTATTAAAATAATATTGATATCTAAATTCTATTTTTCTAAAAATGATATTGTAGCTAGAATAAAATTTAATAATAAATATATACGACAATAATTTAAAACTATCAATTTCACTAAAATTATCAGTTAAATCAATTAAGTTAGGTTATTAGAAATAATAATAATAACAATAATATGTGCCAATAATAATCCAAAGTGTAAATTAAGATCATAAATGCAATAACTAAAATACTATAAAAAAAATACTAATAATTATTTATCTCAATTGGCACATAACATATATAATATAAATGTTACATAACTTTTGATCTAACAATAGTATTTACTAGTTAAAAATATTTAATTAATCAATTAATTATGATTGGCTCTCAAAGTAAACAAAATTGCAACAATTATTTACTTAGTTTGCGATAATTTTTACACATATATATAATATATAAACTTGTATACTAAACGGAACTTAGTTTTTTTTAAACTTTATTATACTAGATACTTAAATATCAAAAAATACTATTTACTTAATTTATAATATTTACTATAAAAAAATAATAGTGAAATAATTGTAATTTTATTAATTTAAGTGAACAAGCAATATATATTTTTCAGTCGACTAAACACAACAATATAAGCAAACTTTTGCTAAACTTTACTTTATATTGTATTTGTTTAATTAATAGTGTATTGTTTTAATTGAATTAAATACATTTAGTGAATCATCTAAGTATATAGATATATGAAATTTTATAGCATTTTTATTTATTTGTTATTCATCATATAAATAAAATAAAATGTATATATATAAAAAGTATAAATAATTACTGCAATTTATATTTTAACTTACTTAAGTTAAATTCATATTAAAATTATAAAAGTTAATAACAATAATTATTTTTAAAAATAATAATAAATAATGGAAGTTGATTCAAAAATTCAAGCACCAAGCAAATGGGACAAATTGAATTTTTTGGAAAAAATTTTCCTCACGTAAGTTTAAAAATATTTTTATACTAATTTTTTAAAAAATATATTAACATTTTTTATAAAAAAATAATAACCAGTTGGGTATATCCAACATTTTATACCGGTTGGTATAAAGAGAGTCTGGAGTATACAGATCTGTTTCGGTGTTCAGATAAAGATAAAGCACTCCCAGTGTCGACAGTATTAGAAAAGTATGATTTAAATCATTATTTTATTTTCAACAAACAATAAAAATGTATAAATATTATTATTTTTTTAAATTAAATTCATAATCTATTAAAATCTAGAATTTGGAAAATTGAATGCAAGAAAAAGAAACCGAAATTTTGGTGGGCTTTAATCAAAACATATGGTTTGAAGTTTGCATTTCCAACAATAATATTTGGTATCGGGGTATGTAAATCATATAATGTTATATCATAATAATAAAAAAATTACTGTTACAAATTAACTACCCTATAGTTAGCTGTAAACAAATATATATATATATATATATATATATTAGGTAATAAATGTTATATAAAAATCAATTTTAAGTACATTAAATAGCATGACTTTAAGTGATCGAGTACATTGACTATAAGACTAAATAAAATAAAAAATGTTTTATAATATTATAGTACATTTTGATAATAATAATAACAAACTAAAAGTATACATATAACTACAGCTACTGTTAAGCAAGGTTAGTTTATATTATCTAGATCGTAACCATGTTTTTATAATTTTAAACTCTTAAATAAACAATAAAAATTCAAAAAAAATCTATTTTAATTTAATTACAAAATTAAATCTTTAGTTACAGACCAGTACTAACTGAATTAAATAAAATTATTATTAAAAAAATATTATTAAATAAAAACTCATTTTAATATTAAATTATTTGTAATACAGGAATGTTTGGTACGAATAGCACAGCCCTTGCTATTAGGGTTTGTCATCGATTACTTCAGTCACGTCCACGACATCAGCTATCAGGAGGCGTGTCTGGCGTCCGGGGGTATCGTATTTTGTTCGGCACTATACGTAAGTTTACACCACCCGTGTCTAATGCGCAACATGACCATCGGTATGCGATTACGTACCGCATGCACTACATTGATGTATAAAAAGGTATTGCATCCCTGTGCTCATCTGTACCTGTAGCCTAGGTTACTAATATATTTTTGTTATGACAGTCACTAAAGTTAAGTCAAGCATCTTTGGCTAAAACAACAGTGGGTCAGATCATTAATATAATGTCCAATGATGTCAATAGATTTGATGAGGTATAGTATAAATACTATTGTATTTTATTGAATGATTGATATAACAATTAAAAATTTAGTCAAATTTCTCCTATTCTATCGATTTTATTGTTTCTATATATAGTTTTCGGTGACAATGACCTGTATGTTTGTAGGGCCCATACAGACAGTAATAGTAATAATAATAATAATATGCACATACCTTGGAGTATCAAGTATGGTAGGTCTGGGTCTACTCATACTGTACATCCCGTTTCAATTGCTGATGGGTAAACTGTTTTCAAGGGCCAGGTAGATTAATTGAAATATACCAGACAATAATTTTTTTTATTAATCATTCAATACTGTCATAAAATTGTAGACAACAAACTGCTAAACTAACCGATTCCCGATTGAGACTCATGAATGAGATAATAGCCGGTATGCGTGTCATAAAAATGTATACCTGGGAACAATCGTTTTGCGATTTAGTGACCAAAGCTAGAAAGTAATTAATAGAAAATTATTAATAAATTAAAGCAAAATAAAAAAAACTAATTTTTTAAAACTAAAACATACCTAAACTAATAGATTGGAAGTCAACGATATACGCAAAGTTTGTTATCTGAAAGCAATAAATTTGTCGCTGTTTTTCATTGCCGCCAAAATCATACTCTTTGGTTGTTTCCTAACATATGTACTGTTGGGCCACAAGTTGTCACCCAAGGAAGTGTTCGTAACGATGGCACTGTTCAATATGTTGCGCATTACGTTGACCTGGATATTCCCACAGTCCATAGCACAGGGAGCCGAACTGTTGGTCACCTGTAGACGAATACAGGTACACAATAATTTTAATTTTAAAAAAATATTTCTAATTAGTAAAATTTTGAAATATAATAATAATATATTTATGATATTTATTGAAATAATTTTAGAATTTTCTCGAATTAGAGGAACAGGGTGTTAAGCCACTGGTCAATAATGATACTAATAATAGCAAAAAATTGGTTAACAAAATTAATTTGTCAAGTAGCTTTAGTGCACCCAATAATAATTTCTATACAAATATTAACGGTAATGGTACTAGTCAACTTATTGTTCGAAACATATCGGCCAAATGGAATCAAGTAATTAAAAAAAATTGAATAAAATTTTTAAGTTATCATTAATTTTTAAAATTAATTTTTATATTTATATTTAAAAAATTTTAAACTAGGATATAAAAAAGCCATCACTGGATAATATATCGGTCAACTTAAAACAGGGCGATCTATTGGCTGTTATCGGACCGGTTGGCTCTGGAAAGGTATTAGATAATTAAACTAAACTTTGTTTACTAATTATTAATTCATTATTTTCTAACACAGAGCTCATTCCTAATGGCATTACTACAGGAGCTTAAACTGCAATCGGGTTCCATTAGTATCAATGGAACGGTATCTTATTCGTGTCAGGAGCCGTGGAGTTTTAACAACAGTGTCAGAAATAACATACTGTTTGGTTGTCCCTATGATGAGCGCAGGTATAAAGATGTGGTACATTATTGTGCACTCGAACGGGACTTCAAACTATTTTCGTTTGGCGACAGAACTTTAGTCGGAGAAAAAGGTGTTTCACTATCGGGCGGCCAAAAAGCACGTATAACACTGGCCAGGTATGGACAACCAGTATAACAATAAGCTTATGTAGTTATTAATATGTTTGTTTTCATCGTACAGATCGTTGTATCGAAACACCGACATATGCCTTATGGACGACCCGTTATCGGCAGTGGACGCAGCGGTCGCCGAACATATATTCGAAAAGTAAGCGATACTAACTACCGGTGCTTACCAGTAACCAGTCTCTATAACAAAATATCAAAAACTATAATTTATAATTCATGTGTTTTTAAAATAATAATTTTTTGTGGCAAATAATATATAAACAGATGTATAGTCAACTACCTGTCCAATAAAATCCGAGTACTGGTTACCCATCAAATTCAATTTGTACGGAAAGCCACCAAAATTCTTGTACTCGATGACGGCAAGTGTCTGGGCTTCGGTACGTTCGACGAGCTTCTGGCTATGGGTCTGGACTTTATGTCACTTCTAGAAAAACAAGAAGAAGCAAAAGACAATAATGCCGGCGATAAGAGTAGTCAACTAAGTGCCGAAAAATGCATTGATAATACTGTACGACAGGAACAGCCATCTGATAACGGGTCGGACGGATCAGCAGTTACTGCGAGAGCCGGTTCGGTGCGTTTGAAAGCCAAACGTAGTACAAAACGTGAGCGACGGGACAGTCAGAGAGAAATTGTAGACAACGATGAAGAAGAGGAGGCGCCACAGGTTCAGGACGAACAACGAATACAGGGGTCCATCGGTGCCGGCGTCTACTGGGCATACATTAAGGCCGGTTCAGGTCCTATACTGGGCTTTATTACCATACTTTCAACACTTGTATCTCAAGCCTTATTTCACGCATCGGATCTCTGGCTCATGAAATGGTAGGCATTAATACATAACTAATTTAAATATAATAACTAATTACTAAAATACCGTGTATTTTGTTTGTATGGGCACCGGTAGGTCTAATAATAACGCCAAAGAATCGAAAAACGACAGCGATTTAGAGCTTATCATATACTCGGCACTGATAGCTGGCCTATTCGTGACGACAATGATCCGGTCGATGACATGGTTTGCCATTTGTATGATAGCATCCAAGCGATTGCATAACACAATATTCATACGGCTATTGAGGGCACCGATGACTGTGTTTGACAGCAATCCAATTGGTATTTGAATTTTATATTAAAATAAATATATTTTTTTTAATAAAAAAAATTAGGAATAATTTCAAAATGTGTTACACAATGTTAGAAATATTTGTTATTTTTGTAATTAATTAAATTATACAGGTAGAATTCTAAATAGATTCACCAAGGATCTGGGCATCATAGATGAAATGTTGCCTGCTACTTCGTTCGATCTGAACCTGGTAAATATTAAAAATAAAACTTGATAATTTACCATAAAATAATTATCTTATAATTCTAATTTTACCCCCACCCACCCCTCCCAGACTGTTACCCAGGCTATCGGTATACTAATAGTAGTGGCCATTGCCGTCAATCCATACCTAATCATACCGGGTGTTATTATGTTTGCATTGACAATATTTGCCCGGGGTATCTATATTAAAACGGCCAGAGATATCAAACGTATGGAAGGTCTAAGTAAGTATAGTTCAAACAAACAAAAAAATAGATTAAATTGAATAACAATTAAACAAATTGATGGCTAATTCGCTAATTTGTTTGCATATTATAGCCCGTAGTCCTGTCTATTCGCACGTAAGCACAACACTGAGCGGTTTGGCCAGTATTAGGTCATACGGGGCTCAGCAGGCATTCGAAAATCAATTCTACACTTACCAGGATGATCACAGTGCCACCTGGTTCATTTTTGTAGGCGCCTCCCGTACGTTGGGTCTGATTGCCGATTGGCTGTGTGTACTGTATTTGGCAGCCGTAGCTGCAGTCATCATGGTCATTCATCATGGTAATTTATACCATACAATTAATAGTTCACTATTTTTTATATTTTTAAATATTGATAAATAGTTTAATGTATAATCAATTTAATTTACTTATAGATGTCAATAGTGGTAGTGCTGGACTTGCATTTGCTTGCGGTATGTTTGATGGCTTTATTTTAATTTAATTAAAAAACAGTATTTAAAAATTTAATTAAAATTTACAGTTTGTCTATTACTACAATACATAATAAATAAATGTCAACAAATAATATATACAATAATTGAAAATTAGTATTTGTAGTTCAATTTAATTTATTAGGTTTTTTTCAATTATGTAACCTTTCTATATAATAAAAATATATAACTAATAGATGCCAGATGTTATATATTAAAAAGGTACAATTCTGCAAACATTGATAGTTATAGACTTGTTAGTCAAAAATATATACACAGTTGCACACAGTATACACATTGCATCACTGATAAGATTATTATAGCATATATTTATTTATAATTGTTTGTTTAGTTTCTAATAATAATATAGATTATAAAGTTATTTATCTATTGATATATATAGATAAATATTTAATAGAAATTATGTTGAACAAAAATGATCATAGTCATTTAGTGGATACATTCAAAATCTATTACATGTATACTGTGTTTTAGTATAGTATAGACTGTTACAAAACAATTGATACATTTTGTGTGAAATATAAGTAAATTGCATTAAACTTTGAATTGTGATACTATTGTTGGTTCACTTGTCTCGTTTTTATTAAGCGAGTTAAGCATCCCATCAAATGTTTCAGACAAATCAGTAGGCATTCCTCACCAGTGTTCGCACTGACGGATGTCCACAAAGTAGAACCGTTAGAACAGGTATCACTTTTTTGTTGTTGGTAGGGTAGGGGAGGGGGTGTACTGTATGTACCAAATAAATACTTTTATCCATAATAAGCAACATAATATTTATTTATTAAATACTTTAAATATTTTTAATTAAATTTAAATTCATAGAAATCCTATTGAATAAAAAAATATATGATATGTTAGTTTCAAACATTATCTTAATTCAAATGTATTATATATTTAATTGATTACACTATTGAAACAAAATAATAGAAAAGTTAGACTTAATTATAATTGTAAAAAAATATTCAAACAATTTAAACATAAATTTTTTATTGATTTTGTTCAGCCCTGATGTTAACGGGTCAGACACAGTTCGGTGTCCGACAATCGGCCGAATTAGAGTCACAGATGACATCAGTGGAGCGTATCATTGAATACACACAATTACCGCAAGAGTCGGCACTCGAGTCTAGCGAAGATCGGCGACCCGGTCAGGAGTGGCCAGATTCGGGACGTTTAGTACTCGACAAAATGCACGTCTACTATGACAACGCACCCGACAAACCTGTACTGAAAAACATATCGTGTGAAATACGCGGTGGCGAAAAGGTAGGCATTGTTGGCCGTACCGGTGCCGGCAAGAGTTCAGTCATATCGGCACTGTTTCGTATGGTTGAGCCCACCGGTCAGATCATCATCGACGGTGTCGATACAAAACAGATAGGTTTGCACGACTTGCGCCGTGTAATAGCTATCATACCTCAAGATCCGGTAGTGTTTTCGGGAACAATGCGCCGAAATCTCGATCCATTCCAGGAATTTTCCGACAATCAGATATGGGCGGCACTGGACGAAGTTCAGCTCAGACATGTCGTACAAGAAATGCCCGGTCGCTTGGATGGACAGCTCAGCGAAGGCGGCGCCAACTTTAGCGTAGGTCAACGGCAATTGGTATGTCTGGCCCGGGCTATACTCAGACGCAATAAGATTCTAGTGCTCGACGAGGCCACAGCTAATGTTGACCATCAAACCGATGCACTTATTCAGCAAACAATACGTAATAATTTTGCCGATTGTACTGTACTAACAATAGCTCATAGATTGAACACAATTATTGATTGCGATAGAGTTATGGTAAATATTAAAATATAAGAAACTTTTTTTTAAATAGTATTAAAAAATATATATATTTATTATCATATTATAATGTTATATATATTTATTGGACAGGTATTAGATGCCGGCCGACTACTTGAGTTTGACGAGCCGTATGTTTTACTGGGAAAGTGCGGCCAGTTTTATGACATGTGCCAGAAAACAGGTATCGATATGTATAACTATTTACAAGGTATGGCTCGTGAAGCTTATATGAAGCGCGTGAATAGGACGTCAACATTATAGTTGTGATAAATTTTATAATTTATTTATTATTTATTTATTAAAATTGTTTTAATTAATAATCATTAAACAAGTTTAAGTCAACATCAATGTACTAAATATGTTAATAATAATTTAAATTTCTAATCATTATATTGTAAAATAATTATTTTTATAAATATGTATTATTTATATATATTTTATTTATAAATTATATTATGTTTTATTATATTAATATATTAAAATTAAAATTACGTACAACAAATATTGTATTTTCAAGATAAAATTGCGGTATAGTTTATTTAAATTTAATAAAATGAAAAATAATTACTTTCTAAATACTGTTATATATTTTTATATTTAATACATAAACATATTTTTTATTGGTTAGTAAAATATTTTATAAAAACTATTTATTTAGAAAATAAGTAACATTCTCTATTATAATGTACTAATTTTTGTATAATTGACCATGTTTATATATAACACAAATTCCACTAATTAAGCATGTTGCAATTAAATATTATATGCATTTTATGAAATCTTTTTATTTAATTGATCAATTTAGTTTTTGCTATAAATAATAATAATAAAACAATACAATGTTATCATAGATTACCTGTACAGTACAGTAGGTAACAATAAATAATAATAATTGCAAATTCCTATATCATTAAGTAATATAGATTGTACTGTATATTATAATGTATTACAATTTTGTATGAAATATTAAATTTTGTTACTTTTGCAAATATAAATTGTATTTGCTATCAGCATTATACTATATTTTGCTGTATTAAAAAGTAAAAATATAATTGTATAATTCTAAATATTAAGTTAATTTTCTACAAATATTTAATTTTTAAATAATTTATTAACATTGTGCAGATTTATTAATATATTTTATTTAAATCAATTAGTTATATTAATTATTAAAATTTAATGTATAATTATAAAATTTAAATATATACTGTATACCATATAATAATCATTTAGAATAAATTATGAATAATTATATATATATTTAAGACAAAATTATTATAGATAAATTTAGAAACATTAAATAAATAATGATAATAATCTGTTTAATTATTATCGACACTGTTTGTCAAGTTCTTTAACCAAATTATTGAAACTTGTTTCCAATTGTTTTAATTGTATGGGACTGGTAGCTTTTTCAGTAGGTTCCCAATAAGCCAATACTTTTTGTTTACATTGACTACATATTGTTGAATATTCAGGCCATGCATCCAATCGAAACATAACCGCTTGATATGAGTATCTGTCACTTTTAACTTTTATTTTGTCCAACAGTGACTGTTTATTTGTTGCTAGGTCATTATTATTATTATTATTTAAACCACCTGCATCACTATTATTAGTATTCATTTTGTTACTTTAAACAATTGACACTTAATTAAATTAAAAACAAAATGTGTATATAAAATGATATTTTACTTGAATTTAGTTGTGCTATAATAACTAATAACAATAATAAAGTAAATATAGTAATACAGTGTTTATGTTGATGTATAAAAATATTGTATTATCATAAAATACTGTACATGTATTAATCACATGTATTACATTTATATTATGCAACATATTTAATAATATACGTAATACTTATTTTTAGATAAATTTATGAAACATTTATTTTTACAAACAGGATTGATGATTGAATATTACTAAACACATATAATTAATTTTATATTAAAAATAATTTTTAATTGCCAACATGTAGATTAAAATAAAAATTATATTATTAATTTTTATTTAATAAACAATTGAAACTAATAAGAAATTATTGAAATTAACTTAATTATTTTATATATTATTTACTTCTAATAAAATCTGTAAAGCAATGTATAATTACATTATCAATATAATGATATAATACAGTTACACTATAATGTTTTGTAATTTTTTTATTGGTAATAATTCATTATAATTTTTAAGTTAAATCATTATTATAAACTTTATTTTTTGTATGTATTAATATTATATGATTGTATATATTTGTAGGACATTATAAACAAATACAAACTAAAATAATTTTTACAATTAAACAGCTGTATATTTATTTTATTGATTTAAAATTTAAAAATACATTAGTTTATTACTCTATAGTTAACTTTTGTAAATCAACATAATTCATAATTTTAAATATACTGTAAATTTCTAATTATAATCATTTATTTATATTAAATGTTAGTTTTTATCATTTGATTAGCGGCACTGTTTGTCAGTCTTTTTCACCAAATTTTTATAACTTTTGGCCAATTGTTTCAACTCTTTAGGTTCGGTAGCTTTTTCGGTGCGTTCATACAGTTCATCCACTTGTTTTTGACACTGACTGCAAATGTCTGCATATTCTGGCCAACCGTCCATACGATACATAACAGCCATATATCCGTATCGTTGACTTTTAGTATGAATAGTGTCTAACAATTCTTGTTTATCGATCGGCTTTTTATCGTCAAAATCATTGTCATTATTCACACCAATGGACATACAGTTGGCACCTATTATAAAATGTCATATAAAAAGTTGTAATTAAAAAATATACTAAAAAATTATTATTATTATTACCAATAATAAATACAGCAAATAAAATTAAATATTTCATCTTTTAGCAATATTTAAAAAATATTTATCAATTATTTAAAAAAAATATTTTTTTAATTATTTTTTATTATTAGTATTTTGATACAATTAATTAATTAAATTTTTACGACTTATTTATATACAATTTTTGTGTACTTTATCATTGATAATCATTACATATTTATTGATAAAGATTTTTTTAATCAATAATTGATTATTAGTTTATTATTATTGAGAACAATTATAATGATAAGCAATGAACTTAACTGTAAAATATAATAATAATAAACTTATGTATTCGTTGTATTGTTTAATTAAAATATTGATAAATAGCTCGTTTTGATAATAATAAATAATAAACATATAGTTTTTATATTAAATATATTTTATGCTCTATAATAATTTTAATTTATAGCATTTTAATAAATAGTTAATTATAGAAATATAAAAATGTTTATTTATTTGAATATTTAATTATTATATGATTAACTTGAAATATAACATTGAAATTGAAATTTAATAATAATTATTTTGTATTAATACATAAAATATAATTATTTGTTGAGATACTGTTAATACAATTAACGATAAAATACAAAAATAAAAAATTTGTTATCAATATTAATTGATAATATAATAATGTCCTTAAAGTAGTTATTTTATAATGTTCTATCATTAGTTATAAAGTAGTGTATATTATTTTTTATGATAAATAGTTTAATTTCATGAAAATAATTACATTTATATAGTTATTTAATTAAAATTGGCATTTAGTAAATTTTTAAAAATGAGTAGTATATATTAAGTTAATAATATATTTAATTCTTAATTATTGAATTATTTATATCAATTATTAAATTATTACATTATTGACTTATTATATAATAATAAAATTATACTTTACATAATGCATAATGTTTTTTATAATTTTAAAAATTATGATTGAGAATTTAAAAATATTTTATTATAAAAATACACATTTAATTAATTTCAATATTTGATTTTGTATGAACTATTACTTTTTTATTACTAGTTTATTATTAGTTTATTTTTATTACTTAGATATACAAAATAAAGTTATTAACAAATGTTTGTTTTACAAATTACAATATTTATCAATTAGTAAATATATTTAGATTATTCGTAGAAAAAGTAAGTTTACATTTATTTAATACTTTTTAATATTTAAAAAAAATTAGACAGTATGATTAAAAAATAAAATAAATTATATTTTTTGCAAATTTGTTTAAAACAATAGTTTTTTTTATTGAATTATAAAGAGGAAACTTTATATAAATAAATATTAATTTTTGTAATAAAATTAAAAATTTATTTTAATTGATTAATACAAATGTTAAATAATTACTTATTAAATATCAATTATTTAATTTTTGATATAATATGCACTGGCAATTTTATCACGCTGGTTTCCATTAAATTCTACCTGACACCAATACGGACCATAGAAATAGGAACCAGTTTTGAGTACAGTGAATTGAGCTGGACCAGTTATTTTAATATCAGTTATAACATCGGGTATTGAATCGCTTATAAATTTACCATTAGCTTAAATTATAATAATAATAATGTTATTAATTTTTAAAACTAACTAAATAAATATTTTATCAATTGACAAACAATATTATAGTTAACAACATACATGATTTAGTATTGTTATCAATAAAGTAGAATATTTTCATCATCATTGGATTAAATTGACGTACAATTGTCACATTAGTCACGGTATCCACACTATTAGCTTTCCATTGACAATCAAATTGATACAGGTCATCATTGTTTTTGATTATATTAAGCTTAACAGTTCTAGCATTACAAATGCTAAAATATGTTACAAATAAAATAGGAATTATTGACAGTTTTAACATTATATTACTAAGTATTTAGTTAATCAATTAAGTAATGATATTTTTATATAATTTTATTTTATAATTCTTATTTTAATATCAAATAAAAACCTTTATTTAATTTTTATAACTTAAATATGTAACATATATACGATTTGTTCTAATTATACACTCAAAGTTAACTTGATAAATTATAATTATTATCATAATTAATGTACCTGTACAATTTTGTCTACTAAATACAAATACAATGCATTAAAAATACAAAAACTAACAATAAAATACTTTTATATTCATAAATAGTATATTTATTTGCACTTAAAAAATATCACCAAATACTAAGTTAAGTGTAAAGTTACATTGAAAACATTAATAATAATAAATTATTAATTTGAGATAATTTAATAACCCCTACAGTGAATTTATATTGAAAAATAAAATATATTTAATATAGCTATAAGTTTTAGTTTGTTAGTTTAAATTAATATTTAAATAATATGTAATTCAATAATTATTTTAAAACTTTACAATATATTGTTGTACCGTAAATAAATGAAATTTCAATAATATTGGTGAAATAATTTGACAAAAATTATTAAATGATTTAAAAAACAATAAATCTAAATAAATATCTGAATAGTTTTTATAAAGTTTTTTAATAAGAGCATACAATCAGTTATTAAATAAATTAGTGATATATTTAAACAAAAAAAAGTTTAAAATGAAAATAAATACAATTATTTTTTTCAAAAAAAGTATTTAAGTATTTTTTAAATAATCATATTATGTCTCCAAAAAAAGTGATACACCATTAAAGTGCTCACCTTTAGGTTTGTGTAACTATTCAAACATTAGATTTGCTAAACTCGCTAATAACGAGTTGGTGAGCAATGATGTACCACAAGTTATATCATATCAACCATTGCTTATATATCAAACATTTTACATCAATTTAAACAAAACAGTTTTCATTTAACAATTTGTATGTTTTTCTATTATTTGCTATACATATTCAAATAAGTAGACAACTACTTACTATTTTAGAAAATTTATTGTTAAGATTTTAATGTAAATTATTTTCTTAATTTTTTTGTTAAAAACTCTATTTAAATAATATTATAATTTAGATTATTATTATATTAGTTATTACAAAAATATACTTTAGCAATTACTGCTGAGACAATAGATATATACTGAACATTAGGATAAATATTATTGCATTATCATGATGCAATTTATTTAAGTATTAAATATTATTAATAATACTTATTTTTGTCAATGTTTATTACAGTATGCCATCTATCAGTAACATTATTAATAATAAAAAAAAGTTTATTATAATTAAATAATAAATTTAGTTTTTTTTATTTTGACATTAAATTAGATCATCATTTCCTTAAATTGATAAATACTTTTTATTTGTTTAAAACTAATATTATAGATAGTACTTTTGTAATTTAAAATTAATATTTTTACCAATTTTTAATGTATTTCATGACAAGTATTTAAAAAAAGATTATAAATTAATAATAATAATAATTCATAAGGAATTGTATACTTTTTTGAACAAACAGTTTGCTTTTTAGACTACATTTAAACTTTGTTTATAATAATTATTCTATGAATAAATAAAGTTAGTTAAAAAAGTCTATATAATTGTTATTTAATTTAATAGAAAAATAATTTATATATTTTTGGAATACATTATTAATAAATAATATATTGAAATACTTAAACAATTAAAAAGTTTCAATTAAACGAAAATACAATAATTTATTAAATATTTGCAAAAATTATGACAATAAACTAACATTTTTTTAAAAAATAATCATACAGTATTAGGTCCCCCCCCCCCTAAAAAAAAGTGATACACCATTACAGTGCTCACCGTTAGGTTTGTGAACATTTCAAACATTAGATTTGCTAAACTCGCTAATAACGAGTTGGTGAGCAATGATGTACCACAAGTTATATCATATCAACCATTGCTTATATATCAAACATTTTACATTACTTTAAACAAAACAGTTTGCATTTAACAATTTATATGTTTATCTATTATTTGCTATATATGTTCAAATAAGTAGACAACTACTTATTATTTTAGAAAATTTATTGTTTAAATTTCAATGTAAATTATTTATTAATTTTTCGGGTCAAAAGCATTATTTTAATATAATTATAATAATATTTAGATTTATTTTAATAATAATTGATGATATAATGGATATATACATTAGGATAAATATTATTACATTATCATGATGCAATATTATTAAAGTATTTATTATATAACATAATAATATACTGTATAAGACAATACATATAATAAATTAGTATTAAAACTGTTAACTACAGTATGCCATCTAGCAATAATATTATTACATTAAAAGTTTATTATTATTAAATTTCAATTTATAATTGATTTTTTATTATATAGATTAAATTAAATCAATATCTCCTTAAACTGTTAAATATTTTTTATTTATTTAATATAATATTTTAGATAGGATTAGTATATTATATATAAATTTAAAAAATAATAATTAATAAGAAATTATATATATTTTTTGAATAAACATTTTATTTTTAGACTATATTTAAAATTTGTTTGTAACAGTTATCCTGTAAATAAATGAATAAATAAATTATTATATTATAATTTTCAATTAGATTTGTCATATATTTTATACATAAATAATTAAAATAATTAATTTACTTGATTTAAATAGTTTGTATATAAAGTGATCAAACTTTCGCGCACTCGGCTATCGGACATACCCTCACTATAACATTGATAAGTCTGATCTCTATTACATACAAATAACATTTGATATTTTTCATTATTATTACTAATTTTCTTATATTTTCCAATTAAATTATTTAGTTTTGTAATACATGATAATTGAATATTTGTAGATATCTTCAAACAAAAAAAAATTTGTATTAAAATTTATACTCAAATATTTTTTTCTAGTTAAAGATATTTAATATTAAAATTAAAATCAAGTTTTTTATAACATACCTTATTATAACTGTCCATGAATTTATTTTCATTATCTTTAAAACATTTTTGAATTTGTATTAATTTGTCCGAGCTAATTATATTTGGATCGCAAACTTTTTGTTGTATAACTGGATCAGTTATAGAGTGATAGTATTGTTTGCAATGATATTGTAAAATAGATGATAGAAAAATTATTGTTAAAATCATAAAGTTATACATTTTTTTAAATAATCGATATCAATATTAGTGTAAAAGTTATAACTATAGAATAACTTATTTTTTTGCAATTTTATATATTTATATACTTTATATTTTATATAAGTGTATCAAATAATATGCATATGTTAGAGTGTAAATATAAAATGTTTTTAATGTCAATAATGTTTAATAATTTATAAAATTTTTAAAGAAATAGCTTTTAAAAAAGTGACAGATAATTAGTTATAGTTATCAAAATTTTTAAAGTTTGAAAATGATATACCAGTATAATAAAATAATATTTGATTATTAGAGACTTTTTGAAATGTTTGCTTTGTTAACAATAAATATTTTACATAATTTTCATTTTTCATTTAAATAAATAAAAAAAATGAAAAGATTTAATATTAATTTTGATAGTTATTTCTGATTTTTAATGAATTTTAAATGTATCATAAAATAAATAAACCAATTACCAAGGTAATAATAATAATAATAATAACACAGCCTGACTACAATAGTTTAAAAAAATACTGTTCACAAAACACTAATTTATAATCAATTCATATATTTTTGCTTAAAAACATTTCTAATGATTAGATTAAGCAAAAAAGTAATCACCAATGTAATATCTTAAATACAAATGTAATTATATTGTTAAACTATTAATTGATAATTAATAAAAAATTATTGAAGCTCCCTGTGGGAAATAATTTAATCATAGTTTTTAATACAATAATAGCTTTATTACTACAGTAATATTATTAATAAACAATAATACTAGTAATTAATACAACAATAATGATAAAATATTTTTGTTTATTACAGTGGTTAAGGAAATCCACGATTATATTGATTTTAAAAAATCAAAAATATAATACAATTATTTAATAAATAATTTCACTAAAAAAACTAATTAAATCATAATAATATGTTTTCTAATTATGTATTTATTATTTATATATTAACAGTTTTAGTATATTTTGTTTGTAATGTACAAACATTTCACTGTATGAGCAATGTTGTCGATTTGCATACCAATGAGGATATTAATTTTAAATCATTGGACAATTTTACCGATGCCATGTGTGCCCGGTGCTATTGGTATATGGCCGGTGTTCCCGATGCTTGGCGTAACGATACAATTGTTAATTTGGAAATGAGACCCATTTGGTGGCCAAATACAGTTAGAATGTGTTTTGTTAACATAGAGAAGCGTCATGCAAATTGCGATTATGAATTTAATTATACAAAAATTGTCAATGACCTAGATCATAATATTGATACAAATATATTTTTGCGACAATTTCGTTCAAAATTTTACATGGTATGTTTTGATTTTATTTATTTGTTTATTTGTTTGTTTGTTTGTTTGTTTGTTTGTTTGTTGCCATTTTTTGTTTTTCTAACTATTTTCTAATATTAAGTTTTAGTTAATAAGGGTCGCTAACATATTGCTTATCAATTACTTATAATTAATTTAGTTATGTTGTTTGATCTTATTATTAAATAATCATTATTTTGTAATTTAAAACATTATATTATTATTATTAAACACTCAACATTTATCATTTAATACCACATTATCTCAAACTTAATATACTGTATATTAATATACATATCTATTGAAAGACATGTAATAAATGTAAATAATTATTTAATTAAGTTATTAATATTACTGAGTTTAGTTAGAAATATATGTTTAGATTTTTTATGCATTGTATGTCATAAACAATCTAAATAACAAATAAATAAATGTTATAAATATAAAATGTTTATAAAATTTGTAGCTAGTTTAATTTTGATTAATTTGATAAAATCAACGTTTGGTGAGTTTTATTGTAAACACAATATATACGATAAGAAAACAAATGAGCAATGTGATTTCAAAACATTGGACAACTATACTAATGCCATGTGTGCCCATTGCTATTGGGATATGTCTAAAATTAGTACCGCCTGGAAAAATGATAGCTGGGTTACGCCCCAAATATATGTAATTTATGACCCAGTTAAAATATGCTATTATGATGATTATATGAGTCATTCAAATTGTGTACTAATTGATTATAATGAATTGGACATTGATAATTATGATGATGATTATTTTTTACAACAATTTCAATCTAAATTTTATATGGTTTGTCTTTTTAAATAATTAATGTAATTAAAAATCTATTTTATTTTATTAAATATAAAAGCAAAACATTATCTTTTTAAACAAGAATCTCTTTATTATTATTTATTACTTATACTTTTATCACTATTTTTTTAATTGATAAACTATATTGTAATTTAAAGACTATTAATCTATTATAGATGTGCTAATAAAACAAATTATTTTTATAAATTATTAAAAGTTATAATTTATTTTTATTAACAGTTATTTTTGTTATTATTAATACAAATTAAAAATACAGAACTTATTTCTCGACTGTTGTTCTGACGCTCGGATCTGTTGCAGAAAACAATTGGCAATCGCCGCCCGCGAAGCCGTTACTCGACCACACCTTAAGCGATGTCCGGCCAAATGGGACGGTTGGATGTGCTGGGACTCGGCTGCGCCGGACACTGTCCAGCGACAAACGTGTCCAGGAATGTCTCACGCAGTGTTGGGCTATACGCCCACCGATTGTAGCAAAGAAAAGGCAGTAAAACATTGTCTGTCAAACGGCACGTGGGCTGTCAAATGGTTGCTCAACAATGAAAACGACCCGAAGTCTGGTTACTATGAAGACGAGGACACTATTTATAACAGATGCAGTCGACCGGAAACCACTAAAAGACAGCAAATAAATCAAGTGTCAAACGGCATATTGTTTTTATCGTTGATCACCAGTTTGATTGGTATAATCATATTTATTGTCTACAAACAGTATCACGTGTTGCGCGTGCAAATTCATTTGAACTTTTTTTGTTCAATAATTTTAACATGCACATTTACCTTATTGTTTAATTATTTGATACGCGAAAGTTTTTACGATTTACGATTCAATGTCAACGAAAAGTATGTTTACATTAAATTTTAATTATAAATTATAACATTAATTAAAACTTATGTTTGACAGTACTAAATGGTGTCGAGCACTGACAATACTGATGAAGTTTTCCCGATTGACAAACTATTGTTGGATGTTGAATGAGGGCGCATATCTGCACCGTATGATTGTCGTAACGTTTGCCGACGAGCGTCGACCAGTATTTTATTATCTGTTTGGTTGGGTCGCACCGTTACTTGTGATGATACCCTATGTAATAGTACACTCACTGGAATCGTACGATAAAGACTGTTGGACTCAGCCGATGCTCTATCCTGAATTGATCTGGGACATTTTGCCTCTATGTTGTATATTTGTAAGTAAACATTTTAAATTTTAAATTAGAGAAATTAATTACAATTTATAATATTCTGTTATTATATATATATATACATCGATTTAGTTAAATGCCGTATTATTGTTAAATGTGATACGCGTACTAATTATGAAACTTCGGTCATCGCCCGACCATTTTCGGGCCGGACTGCGGGCGTCGCTCATATTGTTACCGGTGTTTGGCATACAGTATACGTTCTATGTGGTAGATGTCGACCCGTTCAATACGTGCAGCACCGGTATGTTTGTGGCCAAATACATTCAGACAATCATTGAGGCACTTCAGGGCACTATCGTTACGACAATATTTTGTTTTCTTAACGGAGAAGTAATTAAAAAAAAAATTATAATTGTTATAATTATTTATGAATTAGTTTTTAATTAAAGATTAACTAAATGTTTGAACACAACAATTGTAGGTTCACTCACATATCAAGCGTACGGTACGTAAAATAATACCGAGGGGTAGTGTTATGGTTACTGAACAACAAGACATCGAAAAATCGACTTAAAATAAACTATATTTATTTATTTAATCTTATTAAACTATACTTGATAGTTTATTTATTTAAATTTTATTTTTAAAAAACAGGTTATACAGATGATGAAATTAAATGAGACAAACAATAAAAAATTAACTAAACCGTTATTACAATTGACAGAATATAAAACATAATATTTTATTTTTTTTGAAAAACTAATAATATATTTTGTTGTTATCTTGAAGTTTTAATTTAATTAATAACTGTAATTTATTTTATAACAGTATAAATATGTTCAGAAGCATTTTGTTTAATAGTTTTTCAATTAAATTATGTAAATTTCGATAAAATGTACAAAATTTTGGAATACAAAAAAAATTTCATTTTATAGTTATTATGAATAATATTATATGTTTGATAAATTATTATATAAAAAACATTTGTTAAACATAAAAATAGACAATATAATTGCTATAAAATATAAAGTTTATCTGTAAATTACCAGGATTTAATATTTGGCATTAGTATAAACATTTGGCACAACAACAACGTTTGATGACCTTTCAATATATATATATATATATAGTACTAATAAATTAATAGTAATAATTATGTTATTAAATATAAAAAAACAAATGTTTATAAGTTTTATAATGGCAATAAATAATAATGATAATAATGATTACATCAGAAATAGAAAAATATGTTGTAATATTTTATTAAATAATTTTTTAAATTTCTTTAACTTACAATTTTTTTGATAACATAAAAACTAAATGCTGCCTTTAATATGTACAAAAATACTATTATAATAAATTTTTGCATAATTATATTTGCTTATAGTTTGTTTTCGATTGTTAGCAGTTTAGGTATTAGAAATATAAAGTATTATAATTTTTAATATTATGTAATTTCATTACAATTATATTATATGGTATACGATAATATTGATTTTACTTTTTATAATAAAGATGAAAAACACAAATATGGATCCATAATCATATCCACAATAATCCATTATTAAAAGACAAATGCGATTACGATATATATTGTAAGTGTCATCACAAGACTCAATGGACACAACAAGAGTTGGATAACGTTAAGCGTTACCTACAGTACAGGTTCTACTATGAGTCGGGTGTTAAACCATTGAGACCTCCCTGTAAGTCATTGTACATCAGGAAAGACTGGAAATGTTTATTACCGGATGAACGCAAACGGTTTGTCCTCGCGATTCGTATACTATACGAAAAAGGAGGCCTTCAAGCGTTAGGAGAGCTCCATAACCGTTGGTGGGCGGCATATCATAAATCACCTGATTTTTTTATATGGCACCGGGCGTTCGAAATATCTCTGGAACGGGAACTTTGGAAAATAGACCCCACTTTATCAGGTGTTCCCTATTGGAATGTTGGCAACGATTTTGCACAGCCGTGGAAATCGTGTGTATTGAAAGACTTTGGTTACGGCGGGCAATACGGTAACGGATATTGTGTGCGAAATGGAGAAGTATATCAAAACTTATCGATTGATTATCAAACACGTTGTTTGAAACGTGAGTGGAATCGGGATAATACCGTTTCACCCATATATTCATCAGAATTAGAGACCTATTGGCTTCAAACGAGTCCAACATATCTATCGTTTATAACCAAATTGAGTGGACAACACTTTTTTACTCACTTAAGCTTCGGTGGTTGGGCCGGTGATAATTCACATACATTTGCACCTAATGAGTATGTATTAAGTTTTATATCTTATAAACATTGTAGTAATACTGTATTAGCAGTACTTTATACAGTGTATGGTATGCTTATCTAAAAACTAAAGCATGTATAAAAAGTATAGTAACTAAAACTTTACGTATAGTCTTAACAGCAAATGCAATCATCTTTGATGCTGTTAAAAATTTTAATATAAAAATAATACACTTTTTAATAAGTAAAATTGATTAGATAATTACCATAAAAAACATTTAATTATTTTTAATAATGATTATTTAAAACAATAATTATAGTATTCATAATTCATACTATAATGTAATTAAATCAGTAAATTTATAAAAAATACACTATATCTAGTAATCTACGTATTGATTATATAATTAACTAATATTACATTGATTTGTCGACAAACATTGTTTAGCTATCTATTTATGTTAATACATATCGCCGGTGACGGTATCGGATACAAATGGCAACTACAAGCGCCCGATCATCTGGTCCCGGTGGCCGGTTATACTGAGCCGCCCAGTGTTAATGTTGACCATGAAACTGGAAAAGCCCAACCGTCCAACATATTTCATAAAATTGAATACTATAACCGTACAAATGCAGAATTATTTCAAATTGGTTTCGGAGATGTTTGCTATGTTTACGACAGTATGATTGATCCGATAAACCGTTTGATGCGCAATGAGCCGCCACGTGTACCGATTCAAATAAAACAATTACAAAAACAATTACCAAAACCATTATTGCAGACATACTTTCCATATATAGCTTCCGGCAAATATGATTTCTTTACCCATACATTTGATGATCTGACCGATAACTGTAATACCGTGTCGTGTAAACCGCACCCATACTTTCAACGTTACAATGAAACTGAAAATGGTAGACGTGTTTTACATGACTATCGTTATGCTGCAAATTATGACTTTCCAATTAATTCATTTCAACCACAATTTTGGGAATTTATTCGCCAAATGAACCAGGCTAAATATTGTAGTCCAAATGTAAATACATAATTTTACTGTACAATATTATCAATATATTATAGTTTAATTCTATAATATTAATTAAAAATATATAATATATAAATTGATAATAACAAATCAAGTAACATTTTTATTATTATAACAAATATACAATATAATAATAATAAACATTATATGTACAGTATATATAATAAAAAAACAATATTATTTTTCATTAATTAAATTAATTTTCAAAATTAATTTAACTGTTATATTGTATTTGCTATATTATATTTAATATGAATAAAAATAATATTGCATATTTGTATTCTTTATAAAATGTATAATAAAAATCATTTAAATAAAAAAGTTGTTAATTTTTGTAATAGTTAAAATAACCATTATCAATTATTAATCGCTTATTTTTACTAATTAATATAAGTTATAATAATTTGTATTTAATTAACTTTATAAACAAATCATACACAAGTTTATAACGTTTGATGACTTCGTAATACAGGTATTATACTGTAGTAATAAACATGTTATTAATAAATTAACAAAAATGTAATGTACATTATTTTTTTTATTACTATAATGTTAAAAATTAATATTTTATATAGAAAATAGTATATTATTAAACCACAAATAAAAAAATATGTTTTAATTTTATTAAATAAATATATATTTAAAACCTGTCAAGTTAAAAAAAAATTTTTATTAATAAAACAACTTTTATTTTGTTTAGTATGTATAAAAATAATATATTATTAATTTTATGCATACTTTTATATGCATTTATTTTTCTATCGATAGTTAGCTGTTCAGGTACAAATAATATAAATTGTTATTTATATAATTACTTTTTAATATATAATAATAATTTTGTAATAATTTTTTATAATAAAGGAGAACACAAATATGAATCACACAATAATCCCCTATTAAAAGACAAATGCGATTACGATATATATTGTAAGTGTCATCTCAGGACTCAATGGACACAACAAGAGTTGGATAACGTTAAGCGTTACCTACAGTACAGGTTCTACTATGAGTCGGGTGTTAAACCATTGAGACCTCCCTGTAAGTCATTGTACATCAGGAAAGACTGGAAATGTTTGTTACCGGATGAACGCAAACGGTTTGTCCGCGCGATTCGTATACTATACGAAAAAGGAGGCCTTCAAGCGTTAGGAGAGCTCCATAACCGTTGGTGGGCGTCATATCATAAGACAGTTGATTTTTTTATGTGGCACCGGGCGTTCGAAATATCTCTGGAACGGGAACTTTGGAAAATAGACCCCACTTTATCAGGTGTTCCCTATTGGAATGTCGGCAACGATTTTGCACAGCCGTGGAAATCGTGTGTATTGAAAGACTTTGGTTACGGCGGTCAATACGGTAACGGATATTGTGTGCGAAATGGAGAAGTATATCAAAACTTATCGATTGATTATCAAACACGTTGTTTGAAACGCGAGTGGAATCGGGATAATACAGTTCCACCCATATATTCATCAGAAATAGAGAGCTATTGGATACAAAATAGTCCAACATATCTTGATTTACTTCAAAAACTTGGTGGACAACACTTTTTTACTCACTTAAGCTTCGGTGGTTGGGCCGGTGATAATTCACATCCATTTGCACCCAATGAGTATGTATTAATTGTTTAATATTATTTTTTTAAAAGTATTATCTTTAAAATATTAACTTTCTACTATTCTAGTAATATAATTAATATAGTAATTATTTAGTTTTATAAAAAAAATAAGTACAGTATATATATATATATTTATATATTGTATTTATTTTATTTTTACTTAGAGAATAGCAAATAGAAATTTTCTAATAAATTTCCCTAAAAAAATTACTAGAAAGTTTCTCATGAATAAATTTCTATAGAAATTCAACATTAACAAAATAAAAATATCCAAACTTATAATATCGAAATCATAATATCTAATTCAAAATATCCAAATATATTATATCTAAAAACATTTAGTGCAATTCATTTGAATTTAATTTAACTTAAATAATTAAAATAAAAATATCTAAAATTATTTTATATAAATCAAAATATCCAAAAAATCAAATTATCTTGTTTCAATAAATATTTATAATAATAATTAAAATTGCAATTAGATAAATTTTAGTTATTTTTATTTAAATTATTTAATTTAAATCAAATAAATTTTATCAAATGATTTTTGATATTATATGTTTGGATATTTTGGTTTTGGATGCGACCCGTGATCACCATATCTATAGCTACTACTAATAATCTATTAATGATACACAATATACAGTACACTAATATAATAATGAAATGCGTTTTTTTTGTTAATAAAATTGTTTAGCTATCT